CACCCTTCACTACCCAAGGGAGTCTCAGAGTGGCTTACAATCTCCTTTCCCTTCCCCTCCCCGCAACAGGCACCCTGTGTGGTGGGCGGGGCTGAGAGAGCTCTGACAGAAACTGCTCTTTTTCAAGGACAGCTCTTATCAGAATTACGGCTTGCCCAAGGTCATCCAGCCAGCTGCAAGTGGAGGAGTGGGGAATCAAACCAGGTTCTCCCGGATTAGAGTCCGCGCACTTAACCACGACACCAGACTGACAGGTTAGAAGAAGATGAGATTGGATTTATACCCTGCCCTTCACTTGGAGTCTCTGAGCGGCTTACAAACTCCTTTCTCTTCCCCCTCCCCACAACAGACACCCTGTGAGGCAGGCGGGGCTGAGAGAGCTCTTGACAGAAACTGCTCTTTTTCAAGAACAGCTCTTATCAGGACTACGGCTTGCCCAAGGTCATCCAGCCAGGTGCCAGTGGAGGAGTGGGGAATCGAACCCGGTTCTCCCAGATTAGAGTCCGCGCACCTAACCACTGCACCAAACTGGCTATCAGAGTATCCACAAGATATGTGGATATCAGAGTATCCACGAGATATGTCCAAACCACAGCTTGTGAATCAGTTACAGTCCTGTGATTCTAGACCTCTGGGGAAGAGGACGCATGAATGAAGATGCTTGGGGGAGGAAGTCGTCTTTGTTGGATCCTCTTCCTTTCCCCCCTTACAGTCCCCTCCTTTCAACACCATCCCCCCCCCAATAGCAAATTGTCAGACTGAGTTCATCTTTTGGGCGGTGGTGGCCTATGGCCTGTATTTGAGAGGACCCCTGTTGTCCTGTTATCCACTCCCTGTTAACTTCCAATTTGTCATCCCCCTAGCCAGGCAGTAGGGTTCCCAGCTCTGGGTTGGTAGTCTGGAGAGCGGGAGATCTCCAGGCACCACCTGGAGGTTGGCAACCGTACCAGGCAGACGGAAAGCAAGCTGGGAAAACTTGATCCGCAGCTGCTTGCCTACCTGGGAAAGTTTTGTTAGACTAACCTCTGAGAACTAATAAAGTGCAAGTAAAATCTTTGTTTTCCAAAGTTGTACATTCCCCATGTTATGGGGGGGGGGTGTTTCACCACTCCCTGGACCGGACTTGTCCTCCCAAGAGCCCCCACACCCCCCCCAAGGGTGTGGGCACCTTATAGCCTGACATCCCCTGTTGTTACAGGAGGCTCCTTAAAAAAATAATAATTAAGAGTAGCCAGGACCATTGTTCCCTCTAAGCTGAGTTTGTGGATATCAGAGTATCCACGAGATATGCCCAAACCACAGCTTGTGAATCAGTGTCCTGTGATTCTAGACTTCTGGGGAAGAGGATGCATGAATGAAGATGCTTGGGGGAGGAAGTCATCTTTGTTGGATCCTCTTCCTTCCCCCCCTTACAGTCCCCTCCTTTCAACACCCCCCCCAATAGCAAATTGTCAGACTGAGCTCGTCTTTTGGGGGGTGGCCTATGGCCTGTATTTGAGGGGACCCCCGTTGTCCTGTTATCCACTCCCTGTTAACGTCCGATTTGTCATCCCCCCTAGCCAGGCAGTAGGGTTCCCAGCTCTGGGTTGGTAGTCTGGAGAGCGGGAGATCTCCAGGCACCACCTGGAGGTTGGCAACCGTACCAGGCAGACGGAAAGCAAGCTGGGAAAACTTGATCCGCAGCTGCTTGCCTACCTGGGAAAGTTTTGTTAGACTAACCTCTGAGAACTAATAAAGTGCAAGTAAAATCTTTGTTTTCCAAAGTTGTACATTCCCCATGTTATGGGGGGGGGGTGTTTCACCACTCCCTGGACCGGACTTGTCCTCCCAAGAGCCCCCACACCCCCCCCAAGGGTGTGGGCACCTTATAGCCTGACATCCCCTGTTGTTACAGGAGACTCCTTTAAAAAAATAATTAAGAGTAGCCAGGACCATTGTTCCCTCTAAGCTGAGTTAGTGTGAGCTAGCTCACAGTTTTTTTAGCCTCCGGCTCACACATTTTTGTCTTAGCTCAGGTCAGGATGGATGGCTCCAGAGCAAACTAATTCATGCAGGAGCCAAACTGTTCACTCACAACTTTAATGCCAGTAGCTCACAAAGTAGAATTTTTGCTCACAGGACTCCAAAGCTTAGAGGGAACATCCAGGACATTCGAATCCGTTTTCGTAAGGTCGCAAAATATTTTCTTTAGTCCTCGCTTCTGTGTTTGCTTCCCTTTCTGCTCCTAATGCATTCCTTGGGTTAGTCTGGAGTAATCCGGCGGCAGAGAGAGAGAGAGGCTCCCCCCCCCACTTTTCCTATTTTGTGGGTAATCTTTCCTGCTCTTTTTCCATTGGCACCGCTTCCGAAACCAGCACTAGAGAGTCACTCGATGTTCAGCGCTGGAGGCGGCTCCACCAGCCAAGTCAGCAGATTCGTGAACAAAATAGGATCAAGAGTCCTGCCGGCCCAAAGCATGCAGCGGTGTGCCGCGCACTCTATCAACGCATTCACGTTTGCCACAGGGACAGACGGAAGCTGCTTCGGGGGCAAAAGAGATGCGGGGAGTCACCGACACAAAGCGATGAGTTGCAGAATGCAGGATTGTAAGGAACGCCTT